CGATACCGCCGGATGGGTTTCATTCCAATTTGTCAATCAGTTTGCCATTCACAAGTAAGTGTTATAGTTATCAATAATAATTTTATTAGTGTAAGATATTATTGAAATAATAATTAAAATGAAATAACATCAATACTTTTCTGTGTTTTTAATTTTTTTTTGCTTTTCTAAGTGCATGAATTTGTCCACAAATAATAGATTTGAACTTTTGGTTAGTATCATGACCCGTCAACTCCTCTTTTGCCATTATATTAACTTTGGTTCGGCTGAGTTATAGCCATGTACAGGGTGCCCCAGAACTCAATGTCCAACCGTAACGAAATGACAAAGTCGATCGTAACTTCGTAACTATCAGGATAAAACTTAGAAAAAAAATCTCACAGTTTTAAATTATGAGCCTTTAAACAACCCAGTGTTTTGGCCAAACTACGATCATTTTTCGGTTATTGTAATTACTTTTCATTATTTTGGTTCCTTTAAGCTTGGAACCGTATACGTAAATAACATTCCTAGGACCAAGGTAAAAATAATTACACACTTGCCACAAGTTTTCAAGAATTAATACTTTTGTTAGATTACAAATTCAAAATTTTCATAATTAGTCGACATTTCAAGGTCCTCTTTTTAAAAATGTGCTATAGTTTTCCATCAAAAGTTGGCGCATTTAATCAGAATTGTAAAATTCTTAAAAACCAGAAGCAAGTATGTGTTTATTTTTATTTGTGGTCCTACTAACGTTAATCATGGATACGGTTTCAAAGTTTAAAAGAACAAAAATAATGAAAATTAACCACAATATGGAAAAATGATGACAATTGATGAAAGCTCCAAACTGCACTTAAAAGCTCATAATTTTCAAGCTACATGGAATAATTTTTTATTAACTTCCCGTAGTAATCGCAAAAAATCGAAAATGAAAATTTTTATATATCTTTACGTTTCAAAGGTTTCTGAACATTTTGGCATACCTTAGAAAAAATTGATGTATGTGTGTGTGTGCGTATGTGTGTGTATGTGCGTGTATGTGTGTGTGCGGATACAAATTTTTGTCGATGCTTCGAGAACACTAATGAAGCGATTTCAATAATTCAAAAAACATTCGATTCGTATTGATAAAGCGACGTGCTGATTAGTTTTTGGCGAAGGCAGGTCTAGCCGTTCTGAAGATATGGGTCAAAAAGTGCCAAAAACGGTAACTCAGTTTTTAAGAGAACGAAGCGTCCGATTTGAATAATTCAAAAAACATTTTAATTGTATTCAAAAAAAGTAAAAAAAGCCATTTGGAGGTCAAAAATGATCATTAGACATATGCATATCAAATTATCAGATTGCTATGGGTTCCGTACCAATGTTTATCCTTTAGACGGCGACGCGGCGCTTACGCGCTTTGATATTTCGTCTCTTTGTAGTTAAAGCAGTACGATTGCTTTGAAAAAAAGTTCAGAATTTCCAAAATATTTCAAAATAAATTTTTCTTCAAAAAGTCTTTTTTTTTTAAAAAAAAGGTAAATTTTTGTCAAAAATTTAAAGTGTCTCAAAAATCTAATTTTTTCAGAGTAATTTTTTTTCAAAAATGTTAATCTTTTTAAAAAAAAAATTTGGTACGGGAAGTTTCAGCAATTTGCCTTAAGGTACGACGCCATGCGCCCCACTAGTTCTATTTTTTTCAAGACGGTTACAATCAATACTATCACCCCGTTTTGGCTTGACATTGAATTCTTCGATACCTCACAAGCAGTATAATGACCTATAATGATAAATTCTAACTATCGATATTATTATCAGTTCGTCAAAAATAGTTCAATACGGTCCATTATCCCCGCTAAGGGCATTTTTTCTGAAGCATAAATCTACCATTTTAGTCGATTTCGACAAACTTGGCTTGACAGACAACGAAAATCCCTACGGTGTTCTTCCACCAGTTCTAGCCCGTTCAATGGGCCGAGCAGCAGGTAGTATGCTAGCAGACTACGTTGGAAGGTACATTACCCACAGGCGCAGTCGGCGATCTCCACCTAGTCTGCCTGAAGAAATTCGACATGCGTTTCACGGAGGTGAAAGGTAAATAATTTTCAATACTTTAGGGAAAAAATAAATGTCCGCAATAAAATGTTCTCTAAATCAAATGTATTTGTAGAGTAATACTTTACGCGGCCTTGGAAGATCTATTGAGTTCGTTTGGCATGGACGGTAAAGCCTGCTTACTCAGGGCGATTTGTGAGGTCCATGCTAGACCTATGAAGAGGCTTGGATTGATAGGAGAGATGCTCCGATTATTTTTAAGGTGAGAGATAATATAACTAAAATTTTATTTACATATTTCGACCAATTGTCTTAAACTGGAGCAGTGACCAATATAGGAATATTCTTGGAAAAATCCAACAAACAAAGTTTTAACATATTAACGTTCATTAACGTTTTCCTAGAACGTGAACCTCCATTGTAAGGATAATCGCGTGTCACGCTCTATATAGACAATTTTCACATTATTCAATAATCCCGATGTGTTTGATTACTATGTGTAACACTTTCGACTATTGATATTCGTGACACTTCTTTGCCTGAAACGATTTTGTAATTAAATCACGCGACAAGTGCGTAAAGTATGTAGGTAATTATGAGATGTTTGTACCATTTGCCTACTGAATCATTTTTTTTACCTTAGTACTCTTAATTACATGTCGCTCATGTACGCACGCAGAAATTGTATTGTGTTTTGCATTCGTAAGTTTTCTTTTTCTTTGCCGCCATAGTTGTTTATTGACCTACTGTAATTTGCCACCTTTAAAATTTTACGTTTGAATTAACGAAATCAAATAGAAATTACTTTTATGCTCAAACATATGTTTCGTAAATATTGACAAACAATACTGAATTATTATTTCAGTGCAAGTAAATCACCATATTCTGACTACCTTCAAGAATATGTGGAGGCAGAAAGTACAGGCGCCGGAAATCAGGGCCAAACTGAATGTTGGCCTTATTATAAAGCTTGTCCAAAGAGTTTATTCTGGTCTTCAAATAAATATACGTAAGTGAGATAATGTAATGTCATAAAGTATAATTGAATATGCTAAAGTAATTATTAAAATATCGAAAAATATCATATTCGATAAAATATCGAAAATATCTTAATTCAATTTATTTGTAATATAAAGATGTTATTTATAGTTATATAAATTAAATTGCATCTAATTCACAGACAAGAGAAGGATGAAAAAAATCATAATGATGACGATTTGAACATAGAAGAAATGTGATACCCAATATTGGAACTATGGAGAAAAGATCAAGTTCTATAAACCACAAAAGAAAACCCAGTAATAGTTATATGTAAAATAAATAGAGATGTAGTATTTTTATTCAAAAATTTGGTATTTGAGTACCTAAATAACTAAATAGATTAATAAGATAATTGAATAGATTAAAATGCGCCCGCAATGATAGAATATCGGCGCTAGGAAAACTGTTTCAAAGAGGTCAATATGATTTGAAGTAATATAGTTCAAAGCTAGGCTGTTTAAACAATATTACAATTATAATGTTTCTATTTATCAGTAAGAATCATTTTTGTTCTAATAATAGGGCCTTTATGATGTAGAATCACTTTGAAGTTAAAATTTTAAGCTTATGTTTATTGCAGCATATTATATTTAAAACACTTTGATGACTTTTCTCAATTAGAAGCGATTTAGTCATTATTAGTCAGGTTACATGTTAATTGTAGATTGCATGATGGATGATTGACTGCTGTGTTAAGTCTTTGTAAAAATAATTAATTTATACCAGTTATTTATTAAATGTTTTTATGGGTAGTATTTATATCAGTGCCAAGTTATAATACTTAGAATTTAGTGTTATCTTGTTGTGTATAATAATTGAAATATAGTTTTTGATAAAAATATAGTATATATGTATATATATACAGTATATATCATAGTTGATAGTGCAAAACTGTTACGCCCCTTATAATATAAATATAAATAATTGACAAAATAAATAAAGTTAATAAAATAGCATCACTAACTCAATATATTATACCTGCTCCGTTTTAATTTTTAAAAACTCAAAATCATGCTCGAAATAATTTTTAATAACTACTGTTATCATTATCATGGGTGAAATAATATGAACATTATTTATTTTGCTTTATTTTTAGAGTTAATTATAACATTATGATATATTGTTATAGATACAAATAATTTAATATAATAGGATATTTCTAATGATTGGTATTTTTATTTATTAGATCAATTTTAGTATATAATATAATAAACAAAAATTTTTACTTTAAAATAATAAAATGTGAACCCTAGTTTAAAATTGAGTATAGATTGAAGTAGAGAAATTTGTCGTGCTAATAACAATTTCACAAATCGAATTTAAAAAGTTATTATAAATTATTATCTTAAAAAATATCATTGCTAATACAATTAGTACTAGCAAACTGCTGCAATTAAAGCTTCTTGTAAATAACGAGAAATTCTTAGCAGAAGTGCCGAAGCAACAGGTTTAAACCAGAGATCAAAAACTAATCACACTGTTTTCTTTTTCTTCGAAATATTCGATTTTTTAAATTTAATCTTTTTCAAACAAAATTCTTACAAGCTTTAAATTTTAATCAACATAACTGACCGTTTAAATTATTTTTTTTACTTTTAAGAGGAATTAAATGGCACTACATATTGCGATTACTATCCAAGATTCACTAAAGTTAATATTAGAATGAAAGATTGTGGCAGTCGGACAGATAAGCGAACGTTCGACTCTAATAAGATTTTTCATATCGTTGTATTAAAAAAGTTAAAAGAATTAAACAAATAATCTTATTTTTATTTTTCAAATGAAAGTTTCTTTGCCTATATTCAAAAATTGCACACAATAGGATCTCCAACAAAACGGAAAGCGCATGCTCCACATCTCAATTGCGAAAATATAGACTTATGTCAAATGCGCAATTCCTACTGTAAATATAACGAAATCAAAGCACCACAAGCAAAATGATTAAGGTTAGTTTACGTGAATTAAACTGATTTTGATAACCAATGAACTATTTGTGTTAATGACTTTCCAGTTATGTCTACTTGCGTCACTGTTTTTCCCCATTCATACGCGTTTTTTAGTCAAGAGGAGTTACTCGGATGAATCTGTGAAGGGATACTTGACTGACGTAAGTATTTGGGCAATTAATGCAAAATAAATCATGGAAAAGGGTATCAGAAAATATTCATTTTGATTTCAAGAAAAAAATCAATAAATTAACTTAGATAATATTGTGAAAAAAATTTAATACATGGCTATTGTCATATAGCAATAAATAAATTAATTTTGTACGCGACGGCTTAAAATTTTATAATTGGCGATTTTCTTAAACAATTTGTTTCAAATAGTAAGCAAATTGTTTTATAAATAGTAAGCAAAACATACATTTTTCACAGAGATAAAATTGTAGGTTATAGAGATATTATGAATAGTAGGGTATTATAAAGCATACTAAAGTGTTATTGAAAATCACAGATAAAATATTAATGTTACATTAATTTTATATGTCAAACTTTTATGAAATTTTATTATTTAATTCATATTCTTATTTGATCAACTTCATTTATAAATGATTGAATAATATTGAATGTATGTTATAAATAAAATTAATTTTCAATTACATAAAATTAATTTTAAGTATTTGATGGTCAAATGACCTGGGCTTGATTTTTCCAAATATAGAAATTAAAATTATATTGTTCTATTTTATTGCGTCTGTATTTGAAAAACTTAGAGTTGTTCAAACTATAAATATTTAATTTTTACTTTTTAAAACAGACGTTACATATAGTAATAAGGAAGCATTCATTAATCACGAAATATGACGTCGAGAAAGGGTAATCCCAAATTTTTCAAAAAAAAAATGCTACGGTTTTTTCCAGGTTCATACTAAATATTCGCGTGATGTTGGGTGATAGAGCTAAATTTAAATATCACCAGGGGGAGGGATGGGTTCAAACTGCCTAAAAATCGATCACGTGAATAATGGAGAGCCCAAATTTTAATAACTATTAATAAATAAATATAACCGACTTCAATTTATGATTGTAAATTCAAACTTTCAACTAATTCAAAGATATCTTTTTCGCAATTGATGAAATTTAACTGGCCGTAAACTATGATAAGCAAACTGTATAATAATCAAATATTGCAGTTCATAAAATCATCCCAATAAACTAAGTTATTGTATATTATAAATAATATATTAATTTAAATTAAAATTACCTTGATGGGTCACTTAAACATTTCAAGCGTACTTGCTGGTGGAACGAAGTTTGCAAGGAGGAGTTCCAAACGCTCTTCCGATGTCGTTGTCCTGGTTGGAGCTATTGCAGAAGCCCTGGACGATATTATAACGCTTTCTGCAGCATGACACAAACCGGGTAAAACTATAAAAAAAGCAATTAAAATACTTAATTAACCATCAATTTACATTTCATCAATGCATAATGTAATATAGTAAGCCAATACAAAATTTAACGTACAACAGCTCACTGGAAGACTAATTTAAACCTTCAACATTGTTATAGGATAAAACGTTTCATTTATAACGAGTAAATCAATTTTTCATCATAGCTCAATAATGCCCCTATAATATATTGATACAAGCTCCCAAAAATTGATCACTTCATATTTTTGCCAGATAATTAATATATCACTGTTATTAACTGGTTTTAAGTAAAAATTGGGTTTTTATCATTCCTTTTGTATTTTATACCAAATTTTGATTTTATTCTCATTTTGATATTTATCATCTCAAATCATTAAAATTTTGATGTATATTTTAATCTGACTATACTTCATTCTACCTCGGATATTGTGTAGTCAAATTATCTTCACTCGGTTAGGTATAGTGTTAAATTTTGAGGTTTATTGTGATTGCCTTAATGTGAACCGTTGCGAGCAGTGTTTAATAGCGCAATATCCATTTATCACTGTCAATATCTACTTAAGTTCAACCCTATACAATGATCAGAGAAACCATACCGAGAATTCAGTCATATTAATCACACGCGGCCCTTATTTGATAAAGATTTATAATATGTTATCTTTTGTACAATTTCTAATCAAATTTTGATGGAGTTAGAATCATAGAAGAAATCATATTAAATTATATTAGAAAATATTTTTCTATTACCTTTCTATTTCTATTACCTTTCTATTACCTTTAATGTAACAAACGGTATAGTTGCTTCCCCAAAGTTTTCAATAATTTAAATGATTTGATAAATTTTTGAGTTAATATGAGATATAACAATACTAATATGAGATTTCTGATCATTCAAATCTATCATTACTTTCTACCATTCAAACGATTTGAAATTCCAAAGTTTTAAAATAGTTGCAACTGTATGAGCTCATTTGTGAGCTCTATAATCATATTGAAAAATTATAATATTTGCGAACGTATTTGTCTATGTTTAAATTGCTATCTTATTAATACAAAATAATATACACGATTATTTTATAACAAATGTTAATATCCATTATTTTTACTAATTTTCTTTCATAATAATAGGAAGCACGTGGCGCAAATGGTTTAGAGCCATAAGCCATAACTTCAACGATAAGTTTTTTAAAATTCAAATCCCGCGATACGTACACCCTAATGAAAATGGAACACCTAGTTCTCATTTCTGTTCAACAAAAACAAAATTTTTATAATAAATAAATCTGTAAACTTTAGTAAAAACCGTATACTTGAATGTTACATACAGCATACAGGGTTTTAACTGTTGTAAATATGCCTTATTTTCAAAAAAAAGTAAGTAAAAGTAAAAAAGTTTCAATTTTGCAGATACATCTGGACTCAACCAGAACATAATTGGGAAGGTGCAGAAGTTGCCACATAGTGGCGGCTGGGGGGTCGCACCGAAGGCGGCCAACTACCCCAAAACAAATTATATCAAACTTCTGCCGTTCCAAAAACTGAAGAATCATCAACAAAACATTCAATTGTTCAGACTTTTGATAGGCCATCAACTACAACACATGCCCTACCTACTCGTATAACAACCACCACTGTTGTAACACCCGTTGATAATACTACAAAGAAAGTGCCAGTTATTGTAAAGGTCAGTAAAAAGTGATTGAGTCAAGTTTTATTCTTATATGCATAATATTTTTGCACAACAGTATCGTAAAATTAATTTTTTTCGCAAAAAATATGTAGGCACAATTTAAAGTGTTGAAATAATAAGTGAGTTTCAATGCTTAATGTTATATTTAACATATGTATTTTTTTAAATGTTATTTCCCTTATTTTCAGGGCGATAATGTAAAAAATAATCCCAGAAATAGTAGTGCTATTCAAGAAATTGGTAAAGGAATATCTGATAGTCAGAACGACGTAGTGAAACATGGTGACCCATGGGTCTCCAATATTACCTTCAAGTTAAAAGTCATTGCAAATAACAGGCATTTGAATACCACAGCCAACGTTAATAAATCAAAGAAAAATCCGACCATTTGGACAGCAACTGTGTGAATCCGGTCTCATAATTATTAAAAGCTCCGTAAATGTCTATTGACCCCAGTCTACTACCTATATTATTTTAAACAATATATAGTGTTCTCAATTATAATTTGCACTGCCAATTTATAAAAAAAATCCAAATATTAGGTACACATTGAAATTTTAATTTATTTTCTGCAGAATATAGAGAGTTCTTAATTTATAATTTCCACTGCCATTTAATAAAAATCAGATGTTAACATAGTAACACTTTGAATAAATCTTTATGTGGAAGTTCAGAAATAAAATATATTAAGTACTTTACCAATTATATGCTCTTTAAAAACATACTTTGCCAATATTAAATATTGTTATTTAATACTAATAATAATAGTATGATGAATGATGTATTTAACATAACATCTAAAACGTTATTGCTTTATATTTATATTTATCAAGACTCGAATAATACGTAAATATAAATTTCTTTATTCCAATAGAAATTTAATAGCAAGAGTTTAGCAATCGATATTGATGTGTCTTTTTTTCTAAATAAATTAGGTGCTAAATCTACTTGTGATTTATAGTGATAAATTCTTGTGATGTGAATATAAATACAGATATCATTGAACGTTGTTTGTTTTATTTAGTATATATTAGTATATAAATAAATTATATATTTTTAACAACGAAAAGAATTAGAAAAACAAAAAAAGCTTAACAGATGCATTAAAGCAAGTATTAATGTGTATGTTACTTATTTAAATAAAGCGATATTATGGTAAGACTATTAAATTGCTCTAAAAATAATCTATTCCAAAATAGAAACCTAAGTTGAAGGGTGCTATCCGTAATTTAAATATGATTATAATATACGTCAAAAACGGTTGTGTCAAATTATGTATGAATTCATATGGGTATAGAGTTTTGATAATGTTAAGATGTGTGCAAAACATTTTATGCATTCAGGAACTTGGTCGTTAATATTTCGTCATTTCGCCAAATAATAAAAAAAAACTAATAAATAAAGCACAGATATAATAAAATATATTAATTCATTAATTATAGTATGCAATAAATACGAGTTTTATTGCCAATCGATATTTAACGCGATTGACAGATTTATTAATGGCAGAGACAGTTTTAGTAGGAGGATCAAAGAGCCATTAATTAATTTACGTATACATAATAATTAATAATATTTTTTTACAATAATTTCGAAATCTAACTATATATATATATATATATATATATATATATATTTATTTATTTATTTATTTTTATCATGAATTTATGTTCTCATGTTTGAAATATAGTGCAAGAAATTATTATAATATTCATTTTTTTAATAAACTATTCTAAATAATTCCGGTATTGATTTCTTAGCTAAAAATAAAATTTCTAAATTAATGTTCATGGTATTACTGACTACAGATAATCCTTCAATCAGAAGTGCTAGTGGTAAATTTGCTTTGTGCCAAAAAAATTATTACTTCAATCATTATATTAATCCAACAAATTATTTTAATAAGATTTTTAGCTAAATTTTTCAATGAACCTTATTATTATTATAATATAATAAATCTTTAGCATTTGTAAGTAAAATAATGCAAAGTTCAATTCCTCAAAATGATTCATCTGAACTGAAATATTCTAAGCAAAATATTTTGTTTAGAATATTTCAGTATATAACATAAAATATTTTGTTAAAATCACAGAAATGAATTATATGTTAATAGGAAGAGTTCAAATAAAATGTTGATGTTGCAAGTTGTCCACAAATGATGATGAATGAATAGATTTCAAAAATTTATTGAGTTTTTTAGTTTCTCGTATAATGTTTTTTATTTCATTTTTAACAAACATGAACTTATTTCAGTATATAGTATTTAAAATATGTGTGGTAATTAGATATATTAAAATGCTCACCTTCGATTATTTTTGACATGATAATCAAACAATGTATTTGCTAAAATTGACTTTCACGTGCCAATGTTGACGCAATACTACCTCAACATTATCTCAATATAATTCAATGTAGGGCCAATATCATTTGACCAATTACGTTAACCCTCGTAATCATACAGTGGTGGCCCAAAACAATTTTCGAGAAATTGATTGATTTGCAGTCAATTTCTTAACTACAGTTGGAGAAGATTTTTTTATTTACGTTTCTTAAGCGACTACTTTTCCAAGATTATGCAGTATAGTGCTTCATGCAAATTGAGGAAAGTCTAAAGTTTTATAAATGCAAAAAATGAACTTAAAAAAAAATTCGAAAGCAGTCTTTAGAACGTACTAATTGTGACGCAATACTACCTCAACATTATCTCTATATAATTCAATGTTGAGCCAATATCATTTGACCAATTTACGGGAAATTGATTGATTTTCAGTCTAATACTTACAGATGGAGAAGATTTCTTTAATTACATTTCTTAAGCGTGATAACTACTTATAATTGAGGAAAATCTAAAGTTTTATAAATGCAAAAAATGAACTAAAAAAAATCTATAGTAGTCTACTAAAGTAGTCTATAGAACATGCCAATTTTGACGCAATACTACCTCAACATTATCTCTATATAATTCAATGTTGGGCCAATATCTTTTGACCAATAACAATAATTTGACCATTTGAGTGGTGGTCCAAAGCAAAAAAAAATTCAGGAAGTTGATTGATTTTCAGTCAATTACTTAACTACAGTTTGGGAATATTTCTTTATTTACGTTTCTTAAGCGAAATAACTACTTTTCCAAGATTTTGCATCATATTGAGAAAAGGCTAAAGTTTTATAAATGCGAAAAATGAACTAAAAATATCGTCTAAAGTAACCTACTAAAGTATTCTGTAGAACGTTTCAGTGTTGACGCAATACTACCTCAACATTATCTCTATATAATTCAATGTTGGGCCAATATCATTTGACCAATAGCTCCAATAGGACCATTAGTCCAAAGCAAAACAATTTTTGAGAAATTGATTGATTTTCAGTCAATTACTTAACTACAGATGAGAGAAGATTTCTTTATTTACGTGTCTTAAGTGTGATAACTACTTTTCCAAGATATATATTATCTTGGAAATTTGGCACTATACTGGAAACATATTTTCCAGTATAGTGCTTGATGCAAATTGAAGAAAGACTAAAGTTTTATAAATGCAATAAATAAACTAAAAAAAATTTTTTAAAGTAGTCTACTAATAGTAGTCTATAGAACGTGCCAATTTTGACCCAATACTACCTCAACATGACCTCTATATAATTCAATGTTGGGCCAATATCTTTTGACCAATAACAATAATTTGGCCATTTGAGTGATGGTCCAAAGCAAAATAATTTTCGGAAAGTTGATTGATTTTCAGTCAATTACTTAACTACAGATAAGAGAAGATTTCTTTATTTACGTGTCTTAAGTGTGATAACTACTTTTCCAAGATATATATTATCTTGGAAATTTGGCACTATACTGGAAACATATTTTCCAGTATAGTGCTTGATGCAAATTGAGAAAAGTCTAAAGTTTTATAAATGCAAAAACTAACTAAAAAAAAAATTCTAAAATAGTTTATAGAACAGTTTTATAGAACATGCCAATGTTGACGCGAAACAACCTCAACATGATCTCTATATAATTCAATGTTGGCCAATATCACTTGATTAACAACGTTTGACTAATAACGATCCGAAACAGAAAAAAATTAATAACGTTTGACTGAAAATTGAATTGATTTCTAGTCAATTACTCAATACTCAACAAATTGGAGAAGATTCCTTTATTTACGTTTTTAATCATGATAACTACTGTTCCAAGTACCTGATGAAGATTGAGAAAATTCTAATATTTGTAACTGAAGTATTCTATAGAACAGTTCTAAAGAACTGTGTTTTTTGTTTATATTTTAAATCGTTTACAAGATAATTGAAGCATAAAAATTCACAACATAAAAACACAAATTTCCCATTCCCCTTTCCCAAAATATTTTCCATGTGTTTGAAATCTTTTCATTGGCTCTTTGACTATTAAATCCTCACTGGTAGCATATACCCTGTATAATATTATTGTAGTACTCCCGTTATTGATCCGCCGAGTGTGACGTGCGATATCGTCAGCGTGAGCAAAACGTGAAGCGTAGGCGCTACTCGAAAACATATTCCGCGACTCCACAAAATCAGATTGGCAAAATGCTACAAGTGTAAATAACTTCGTCAAACCAAATTCGACAATAATTTTACCTTTTCCGAATTTAAGTAGTGATTCAAAGTGTTCGCGTATTTCTAAACAAGAATTCAATATGAATTTAATATCAGCTACAGTGTTCGTCGGTTTCGCGGTAGTATTATTGGCAGTTTCGAGTTTCGTCGACGGCAGACCAGGTGATCTTAATCTCAACGACGACCTTAACCGTGATTTCTATAAAGAAGTCAAACAATTGCTGGATTCTGCATATGATAAACAGCGGAGATCATCGGTACATATAATTATAGATTAAGATATGTTAAACAAATTTATGAGAAACAAATTCTTATATTAATAATTAGTAAATAAAATCAATGATAGCAACAAAAATGAATCCAATAACTAATTTAAATATATTAGAAAATAATTAGTATTTTATATTTGAAATATTCATATACCACGAAGAAGATATTTTTTCTAGAAATGTTAATACATAAAATATTTTATATTGTTTTTGTTAGTATATAAAATTACAACAGTCCTAAGCATTTATAAAAATGAATAGTATAAAAAAGCTGGTTCCTAATAATTTTTCAGCTGAATCAGCATATTATAAGTTGATACATCTTGTTAATAGTATAGTTTGTGATTTATATTCGACTCGGATGAAAATGCTCATCCACTTACGAACATTGCATGTTTTCATTGGATTCTATTGTATATTGTACTGCTCCGCAAATAGTAATATCTTAGCTGCAAAAAAATCCTAAATCTTGATATTCGATATTTTGACAAATATAATGAAACATAACGTTACAATATTAATAAAATAACAACAAATTTTTGCATGCCTCAAAAGGCATGCAACAACTTACAAAGTCTTTCTCATTCTTTAAAAATTGTCATTTTTGGACAAAATTAGAGGAGCGCATGGCATCGTGCCTTATTTTTTTTAAAAAGATTAATATTGTTGAAAAGAAATTACTTCGAACAAATTAGATTTCTGAGAAACTATAAATTTGACAAAAATTACTTTTTTTTGAAAAAAAATTATTTTATTATTATTTATTATTAAAATTTTCTTTATTTTGACATATTTTAGAAATTCTGAACTTATTTTCAAAGCAATCGTACTGCTTTAACTGCATAGAGACAAAATGTCAAAGCGCGTAAGCGCCGCGTCGTCGTCTAACGAATAAACATTGGTACGGAACCCATAGGAATGTAAACAAAATTCATACTCATTATTAAAATCTCTGTAAAATATCTGATAATTTGATGTGCATATCTCTAATGATCATTTTTAACCGCCAAATGACAATTTTTTTTACTTTTTTCACTAGATCTCCAAAACCGCTAGACCTGCCTTCATGAAAATTTGATCAATTCTTCATCTTGTCAATACAAGCTCTTCCTTAAAAACCGAGTACCATTTTTGGCACTTTTTGCCCCGTATCTTTAAAATGGCTAGACCTGCCTTCGTCAAAAACTAATCAGCACGTCTCCTTATCAATACGAATCGAATGTTTTTTGAGTTATTCAAATCGCTTCATCCGTGTTCCCGAAATCGTCGACGAAAATTTGTATCCGCACACACATACATACACGTACACACACATACATCCATTTTTCTAAGATATGCCAAAATGTTCAGAAGGTTTTGAAACGTAAAGATATATAAAAAAATTCATTTTCGATTTTTTTGCGATTACTATAACTTGCCCTGCGGGAAGTTAAATATGGTTTTCCTAATATGTATGACGAAATGTTGTTCTCGCACATATTATATATTATGTTCAATAAATTCAATATAGCAGTAGGGCAAACAACTAGAGTTTACGAGAAAGGATAAAAGAGATAATGAAGTCTAGATCTGTACTACAGACAGCTCTGACAATAAAATAAATTTTATTTGCAAATTACATGTCGTTATATATATAGTAACTACATAGAAAACGGTTGTTGCTAAAGTAATAAAATCCACTGATGCCTTAATTTTCATTACTCGATTTCAACTTGGTACATATTATTTTATTACAAATAATAACGCAACTGCTCTCTTTTATTATACTAGCATTAATCCAGCGTATGATTTGTTTTAATAAAATGCATGTTGGAATCTTTTAATGAATAGTTATAACAGACATATTTGAAAAGTCATCCAGAATATATCCTGTTGCGATGATTTAATTTGTTGTTCATTCGAAGATAAATTTCAAATTGTATATGCAATATTCGATAATACTGATTTGCAAAGTATGAAGAATTGCACATAGCAATAAATAAAAAAAAAGTAAAATAAGTCTGATTTAAAGCAACTATAACATAAAAATCGGAACTTTCCGCAAACTAACCCTGAAAACAAAACTTTATTTTAGTTAGTTTTCCGTAAACGAATATTTTAATTACAGGCTGAGACAAGAGCTAGTGAATTATTTTATAATGAACAACCAAGAGAAGTGACTCAAAAACCTCCAAGACCTGTGGAAGTTCCGGGCTGGCCCAAAACGGAACTGGCAGTCGGCCAAATAACTGCGGTCTCGATCAATTCTAAAGGACAACCTGTTATCTTCCACAGAGGAACTGTCGTATGGGACGAAGGGTATTTTACTGAACAAGTTGACTTTACAACTTCATACATTTTCGCTACTAATGTTTCGATTGTTATGGTTTCTATTTGTAGATCATTCAACACGACGTATAATTATCAACGTGCACAACAAGGGCCAATAGCCGAAGACACCGTGTTTACACTAGATGAAAACACAGGTGCTGTGTTATCATCATGGGGAGGTGGAATGTTTTATATGCCCCACGGACTCACTGTGGACCAATATGATAACGTGTGGGTTACCGATGTAGCTCTACATCAAGTATTTAAGGTAAGTTAAACTACATAAAATTATATTGGTTTCTTCTATGTTATACCTAACTAATCATTTACTTTTAGTTTACCCCAAATGTAGAATTTCCCACCCTTACTCTCGGAGTGCGTTTCCAGCCCGGTACGCGTTTGCCACATTTGTGCCAACCCACCTCAGTAGCCATTTCCAGGACAAGAGAAGAACAAATATTTGTTGCTGATGGCTACTGTAACAATCGCCTGCTTCAATATACAAAGCACGGCGAATTGATTAGGGTTATTCCCCAACCACCAGGTAATTAACTATATTTGAATTATCATTTTAATCAAAGGAGCAGGTTTCAATTAAAAATTTATATAAGTCTTTCAAAGTTCCGACATAACTTCAAATAGTATTTCATATAAAACGATTTCATAAATAAAATCATGAACATAGAAGCGGCGTTAAGTGAATTTTGTATGTAATATAATAGTGAATTCATATTGGAGCAAACGTCTATGATGACGTGTTCATCTATGTCATATGATAATAATTTTTTTTTTAATTTATTTGTTTTAATTCTAAATATTTATATTAGAATTCAAGCCATATTTGATTTAAATTAATAGTCTTCTTCTAAATTTTATGACTTTTATTTCTATTTCAAGACTCAATAAAAAATGGCCAAAGTACCTACAAGTGTAAATCCTATACAGACAGCTATAGATTTTTTCTAGCAAAGAATCTCCTCATTGGAGGAGAACACTAAACGCCAAATATAACATCATCTGATTGTCTATTCAAATAAAATAATTTCTCTTTCAGAGTTTCTATCATTGCAAGTGCCTCATTCCTTAGCTCTGGTGGAGTCTTTAGACATGATTTGCGTTGCTGATCGAGAAAATATGCGTATAGCCTGCCCTCGAGCTGGTTTGCGCGAAGTGGATTTAGTGACCAGATCAGCACCAGCCTATACGATACACCAACCTGACCTGGGAAGAGTGTTTGCCGTTGCTTCTTATGGTACGAAATAAATATATATATATTATTAATTAATAATATATATATATATATATATATATATATATATATATATATATATTAACGCTTCAAATTACTCACTGGCCTTATTTACTTTTTTTCTTTGCTATTGTATTATTTTTCTTTTATTTTATGTCAAATTTCCAGTAGATTCTCCAATGGGTGTATCTATAGTTAAAGTTTTTTCTAATTTGTCTATAGATTTATAGTTTGACGCCTGATAGTGCAGTAAACGGAGCGTTTTAGGTCTGAATTTTTTTTACTGTGCTCCGAATTGGATGAAATTTTGGAATTAGTTCATCTTACCCTCAAGTTCAAAAGTGAAAACAATTCGGGTTGCGCTATCACCCCCCGGAGGGATGACACTCCTTCTCAATTGTGTAATTATATTTTTTCAAAATTTTATAAAATCGTCAGTTTTCTGAAAATAGTTTGTACTAAAGCAGTGAATCTGCTAAAATCCATCAAGATGTCTATAATGAAGTGAATTCTAGATGGATTGTGAATTACTTTAATTCTGGTGAAAATGGCGCTCATTAAACCATATGATTTAAAAGAAAAAAACTTCGTATATGATTTTTATTTGCATGATAGCTCACTCATTTTACACGCAAAAAACTTGTAACAGCACTCATTTTAAAGCTTATGTTGAGCACTATAAAACCCAATTGCACCGAAATGCATAAAATGTAAAACCTCGACACTAGATGGCTTTAAATACAACAATTAAATTTTGAACGCAATAAAAAACGACTTTGCTCTTTCAAATCTTGCTTAATATTTTTCCTAGAACACTTTATGTAATACCGATTTATTACGATTTTTATTGGCATTATTTTGTTCAGTACATGATTTTCGTTAAAATGTATATTTTAGGAGATATTTGCAAAAAAACAAAGAAAAACGACAAAAATATATGAATCTTTAGTGGCCAGAAACTTGAAAAGTATTAGTTTTTTTGAAAAACTATAAAAGACATTTTTTACTTATAATTAGTTCTTCTATCGATTTCCGACGTTAATTTGAAAAAATGTAATTACACAATTGAGAAGGGGTGTCATTCCCCGGGGAGTGATGGCGCAACCCGAATTGTTTTTACTTTTGAACTTGAGGGTAAGATGAACCTAATTCCAAAATTTCATTCAATTCGGAGCACAGTAAAAAAAATTCAGAGGTTATATCCTTTTTTCTCTCCGTTTACTGCACTATTATATTTTTGTAGAACAAAATAATTTTGACAATACCTGAATCCAGTATGTATCAAGCTTTCGAAACATAGTGCAAATGTATCGTTTGCGTCGGGCATCTGTGATTGACGTAACCTTCTACCAAATCGCAAACGTCAGTCGTGTATCATCAGATACATATGACTGATTTCTAATAAAATTATTTTTCTTCAGGAGATCTTGTGTATGCTGTTAACGGCCCCACGTCGCCTATGATACCCATACAAGGTTTCACGATAGACCCCCGAACGGAGACCGTCATAGACCATTGGGCACCCACATCACATGCCTTTGCCAACCCGCATGGGCTAGCCGTGAACCCAGATGGAAGTGCCATGTATGTGGCAGAAATTGGACCAAATCGATTATGGAAATTTATGTTGAACGCTACAGAATAAATTATAAAGTTTTCCAGTAATGACACACCACCACAAATATAGGCCCCTCTGGCAAGAACCTAGATAGATTTTCTATTTATAGTGGAATGTTGATTGTTTTCAGGAAAAAGGCTGTTGTAAATGATACGTATTTCTTGTCATTTTCCACATATTAGTCGAAACTGCTTATATTGTTTAACGAATAATTTCATTTATTGATAATATTTTTCGGAAAAGTTTTAATCAATTTTTTGTAGGAGCTGAAGAAGATTCAATTCAGTCAGCTAATAAATTCTGGACCTCAAGCCATACCAAATATTTAACACCATTTGTAGTAAATATAAGGTAAAAATAAAGTAAATACAAGTTTTTAAAAAAGTGTAGTAGGTGGCATATTTTATACATGGAGTTTATTAATATAATATATTATATTTTTTGATCCCAGAGTAGACTTGTAATTCGATTCTAATCAAAAGAGCCACTTTATAAGAAATGTGCAGAACTCGTACTAGGCTAAGCAATTATTATATGTACAGTACACTATTTCACTATTCAGAGTAAACCATGAACAAAATGGAAACCCATGTTTTATCTCATTTTTTTTTTATTTTTAAATTATTTATACATGGTATTCCAATTTATGCAATAAATTAAAATATGGCAATTAATGCGGACCATTTATAACTTTGAATTTTATATGTATTAATTATTCAGTAGTTTACTCAAACCATATATGCCGATACCAAATCGGTAAGCTTTTCTCCAGAAACTTTAAAGTCGAATTAACCTAATTAATAAATCACGAAATAAATTAAGTTCAGGAATAGAGTAGCTTGAAAACATACTTTAGCATTAGAAAAATGACACATAGTTCATAGAAACAACTTATTAAAAAAATATAATGTGATATGAATTAAATATAAATTAAATGCTTTATATTTATAAATATTGTAAACTATACAAATAGAAGTTACATGGTATATTAAAATTGTGTCCTCATTATTAGTTTGTTTAGTTATTATTAAAATATTATTAATAGTAACGCATAATGTAAAGGGGCCTTATTCAAGGTTCTCAAAATTGATATGGATTATAAAATTTGAAAAAAATTAAAAGAAATAAATATTATAGAATAACTATTATTATACAATGTTAAAATCATTGACAAATTTAAATCCTTATATTGTTGCAAGAATTAAAAAATATATGACAAAAATATATCCTATATAAATGTTTTTTCTTAATTTAAAATTATTTTAAATGTATTCAAAAATAAAGTTAAGTCTGAAAGATACTTTAAAAACTTTGCTTGTAGTATTGGGTCACATATAGGCCCATGATATTATTACATATAGGACAAAACATATTCAAAATTTAGTTATTAATATTGCTTTGATTAATATTGGTTATTTAATTATTAACAATAAGGTATATCATTCAAAACTCAATCATTTGTGACTATTTGAGGAATTTACCCGCACTTACATGTTTTAGTAAAGTTTTTAACATAATTAAATATTTCCCAAAATAGTTATTACCCAAATAATATAGCAATATAGGGTTTAATGTAGTTAAATAAAAAACTGATTTATAAAATTTTGCAAAAAATGATTAAATATAAACAAATTGTTTGATAGAAGCCATTCTGATCAATTTAATATATTCTGTCAGATTATTAAACAAATCCATCCTTTGAATACAAATATCACTAGGTGTAGGTGGCATTTTGCCAAAGCAATTGCCTGAACTTCTCGATAATGAACTGAACCGTTTATTTTCAAAATACACGTACCCATACATGCTTTTTCAAATTTTTGTATAAAACGTCGAGAATATATAAAATTAACAAATCGGATTTTCTGGCAAAAACATTAACTTCTCCTTCGAAACGTTAAAAAAAAAAACTATCATCTATGTATGTATATCAAAATTATTTCATATGAGATTTTTGGTGATTATCATGAATAAGGTCTATCTTAGAGGGCAGTACTATTTTATTCAAGTTTATCAATATCATTTAATAAAATGTCATTCGGATTTGATTGTAAACAATAGTTACAAATAATAATATAATAAATAATGTTATTTTCCTTAAATATATAGAAAACCCACTGTGATAATAGTTAATGCAATTTAGAATCATGTTGAGACTAGTATTAATAACCTTTGTTTTTGGAGTATACATGCCATTCCAAATGTATGTTTTAGTTTTAGGTTAATTTCAAACCAAGTTAAAATATTTTTATTTATATTTTATGATTTCTAGATTCCTGAAGATTTCGTGAAATCTACACACACCAACAATTGGGCAGTGCTCGTAGATACATCTCGGTTTTGGTTTAATTATAGACATGTAGCCAATGTTTTATCTATCTATCGAAGTGTTAAACGTCTTGGCATACCAGATAGTCAAATTATTTTAATGATAGCTGATGACATGGCTTGTAATCCAAGAAATCCCAGACCTGCGACTGTTTTCAATAATGCAAATCAACATATTAATGTATATGGAGATGATGTCGAAGTAGATTATAGAGGATATGAGGTTTATATACAAAATTGATACTAATACGAATTTATTCTTATGTAGCGCTTCACTTTTAATTATAAAAGTCTTAATATGATAACTACAATTCATTCAATCAATGTTTGATGCAAAATGAAGAACTGATTTTTATTTTAATATTTTGCTATGTCAATTGCAATATAGGTAACAGTAGAAAATTTCATCCGTTTATTAACTGGAAGATTGCCCCCTGAAACACCGAGATCAAAACAGTTGTTAAGTGATGAAGGGAGCAATATTTTAATTTACTTAACAGGTACCTTTCTTTCCAAATAAATGTAATTCTGAATAATTGAAAAAAAATGTTATAAAATTAATTACATATAATATTTGATTTAACTTTGTTTTGGTTGGAGTTGTTTGTGCGAAGAGTTTATAACTTTAATCACAAATCTTATATTTACTTCAATACATTTGGTTATGCATGATCTTAACATATTAATTAAATGATTTGCTATAATTACTTTTTCAATAGTAACAGAAATTGTAAATGAATTTATAACTTGAAATTTATTATATCATAGGGCATGGAGGTGATGGATTTTTAAAATTCCAAGATTCAGAAGAGGTTACTAGTCAAGAATTAGCTGATGCATTACAGCAAATGTGGCAGAAACGAAGGTATTATCAAATCTTTAACACTGCCAAATAACAAAGCCAAACTAATTAATTTATATGATTTTAGATACAATGAACTATTCTTCATGATCGATACATGTCAAGCAGCTTCCATGTATGAAAAGTTTTACTCGCCAAATATTTTAGCTGTTGCAAGTAGTTTACTTGGAGAAGATTCATTATCGGTTTGTATGCTATATACATTCAAATACAAAATGTACAAATGAACATAAAAATCATAAATTTCATTTTCAGCATCATGTGGATCCTGCCATTGGTGTGTATATAATAGATAGATATACATACTATGCATTAGATTTCCTAGAAAAAGTTCATCAAAGCAGTACTAGAAGTATGGCTGATTTTGTAAGTAGAGATCAAATAATTTGATACAAGTGATGTTCATACAAGAAATAAATAATAAATTATGATTTATTACAGTTGAAGGTGTGTCCAAAAAGTGTTTGCATTTCAACAGTTGGTGTCCGAAAAGATTTATTTAAAAGAGATGTTAGTAAAGTTCCAATTACAGACTTTTTTGGAAGCGTTAGACCAATCGAGATTACATATGATGCAATTAATATTACAATTACTGAATCCAAAGAGTAAGTAATATTATCAGCACTTGCATTCTTGAAAACTTGTGTAATATATGTTTGCATTTTACAGAGACTCGAAAGAATCCGCAGAAAGTACAAGACCTCAAAATAAAAGATATTACTATGCTGAGCAATTTCCAAGTCATTTATTTAAATAAAATTAAACTTTTTTAACTTTTATTTTATATTATTTTAAGTTATCTAGTCTGCATTAATAAATAATTGCTTGACAGAGTATTTCTATATTGTTTTTGTACTATTGAAATAAATACTGAAACATAGTAGTGGTATCATTATATTTGATGATATATACATTTTGAACGTTTGTTTGGTGTTTCGGATTTAATATATTTGCTTTCTCAGGGTTTTAAATTATATAGATTCCAATATTAAGAAAAGTATTCTAAGTGCAAAATTAACCATTTCTCAAATAGTTTTTTTGTAATAAGCATACTAAATTAAATGATTTTTTTTTCATTCCTTATTTTGTAAAACTAATTAGGAATTGTGCAGATTAATGTACCTTTTTTTTAATATTTCAAGGAATCAGAAAATATTTGATAGAGATCGTTTAATAACATTGCATGATTTACTTGCTATACAAAATCACCATTTTCGTAATTAACTAGTAATTTTTTTCTGTAGAAATAATAAAAGCCCCTCGATTGATTTCAAATTTTATTAACATTCACGGGCTTTAAGTGAAATTCGGTAGAACCGTTTCATCGCATTTTTTTCCATTACACGTTGTTCGATTTGTCATACATTTCTAATCGAAATTTAAACTAGTGGTGTATGGCATCGTGCCTTAAGGCAAATTGTCGGAACTTCCCGTACCGTAATGAAATATTCGAGAAATATTGAATGTTTTCAAATAGATCATTATAAATATTCTGTAACATTGTATACATTTATAAGAATTATATAAACTGAATCACGAAGTCAAAAATATTTATTCAAAGTGAGCTTTGAAACTTTAGCCAGAATTAAAATTGCAATCTGAATTATTTTCGATATACAAAAAAAAATGAAATTTTTTTTTTTCCAAAAGCAATTGTTTTGTCAACACAAGCAGAAAGTTTTTTGAATAATTCAATTTGGATGCTTATCTCTCAAAAACTGCCATTTTTTGTATATTTAGCTCTGTATCTTCGAAATGGCTGGGCCTGTCTTTGCCAAAAACTAATAGCCATTTCTCTCAATCATTACTCTCAAAAACTCGATTCCTATTTTTTGCGCTCTTTGCTTTTTATCTTCATATCGGCTGGACCTGCCTTTGCCTACATCTCCCTATCAATAGGAATCGAATGTTTTTTGAACCATTCAAATCGGTTGATCCGTGCGCCCGAAAACATGAACAAAAAAATGCGGACACACACACACAAACATCCATTTTTTCTGAAACCTTCAAAACGTCGAGAAATGCAAAAAACTTCATTTTCGATTTTCGGCCCATTACTATGACTACCCTACGGGAAGTTAAAAAAAAATGGCAGTTATATTCCATTTTTTATGTATTCATTGTTCAAGAACACCTTAATGCAAAAATGTAGCATACTCTACTAAGTATGTTTATAAAAAAACATATACCATTTTAAATTTTAAAAGATCATTCGTAAAAATAGCTTAGTTTTAAATACTAATATTATTAATTTCCATAAAAAATATCTAAGAAATCATAAGTGAAATGTGTTTTTATATATCAAGAAGAACGATTACTTCGATAGGTTGTACAACCATGCTCAATTCTCATATATTATTTATTGTCTTTAATTTTCGCGCATTCAGCAACTTTTGTGCGTGACTAATTTTATATTTTTTAAATTATGATAACAAGAAGTCATTGCAATTGGTTTCCTAATCGAATGTTTTTCTTTAGCATCAGTAAGCAAAACAAAGTGTGTTTTAAATTAAAATAAAAATAATTACAGATCAGATTATGGTTTAAGTTCGTACTGACTCTAAATCATACTTTATGTGGTGAAATAAAAAAATGTTATCGTCAATAAGTAAAGTTATAATATTTGCTTGTTTATTCTAAAATATAGATTAATATTAACTTCGACAATAAATGCTTCGGTGCAATTTCTTAATTAATGTGCAAATCATTTAAACTCTACAATTTAATCGAGAAAGGTATTTGTGATAATAATATATTATGATAGCATTGATTAGAATTATCATATATTATACGATATAATCAAATATCAATGTCTGAAGGTGTTTGATAACAGATGATACATAAATAAAAATATGGCGCTAACATTAATTAAAATTAATGTTAGCGCCATTAATTTTATGTTTATGTGAATATTTGCACTTCGCGGAGTTGCGCAAAATTTCAATTTTTATTTCTCAAAATAGTTTCATCAAATATTCTCTGACAATTGAATAAATTTTAAAAAAATATTCCCGGGCTAATTCTGCAAAAACTCTGCATGTGTTGATATATATCTGATTCACTATAATCATTATGTTTCGATTTTGTATGCACAATTACTTTTTCAGAAGCAGTACCTTATGATAAAAATTCAAAGTTGTTGTTTCAAGAAATGTATTTTTAATTTAATTAAATAATAGTGTAATAATTTATAAATAGTGATTATTATATTTTCTAGTTAATAAAATGTGTACTCAGAGAAGGATATCACAATTAGAGATGGAATATAATATACCGTTGAGGGAAACTGATCAATATATCAGATACCTATTCGGGAAGGTAAAATTATAATAAATCAAAGTTTATGTATGCACGTTAACAATAATTCATTGTATTTTGAAAGTATGACACAGATAATGATAACTTGATATCTGTCAGAGAATTACAAAGAATTGTAGAGAGAAGTGAATATAATAATGAGTTTCCAGAATCTGCCACTCAGTATCTTATGAGTTTGGGCGACTCTAATCATTCCCGGTTTTTGGACTTCGATGAATTTTATGCACTATTTCGACATTCGAAAGCGAAAACAACATTTGGAGTTTTGTTCCAACGTTTTATAAATGAGAATTATGTGAAGAAGTTGATCCCTAAAACTCAATATACAAGAGCGGGTAATGGTAAAGTATCATTAAAAGTTCTATGTTAGAAATCATTTTAAAATCACATCTTATTAAATCGTTTAATTTCAAATAAATAATATGAATAACAAATTATTTCTTTAATAGTTAAACGATTTATATAAGTTCCTTGTTGAATGTAATATCTTAAGTTGTTTGGAAAATATTATGATCTTCTTGAATATATGTACAGATTATGAAGACAAATATTCGTGCCGTACTCTGCCATATGGCATTATTATGTTGTCATTAATGCAAATTGCAGTCTTTGCCATTAGGGATTATAGTAATGTTGCAGAAATATTAATGTTTAAGCCAAAAGAAAGACTTGAAGTTTGGAGATATGCCACATATATGCTCGTACATGAGCGGTAGGTATGTAAAATATAACATTATAATAATGGAATTGTATTATAATATTATTTCTTGATTATTCGTAGGTATTTTCATTTTATTAGCAATTTGATCATTCAAATATTACTGGGTATACCCCTAGAATGCGTTCATGGTTCGTTAAGAATAACAAAAATTTATTTGCTTGGTGTAATATTTGCTTCTTTGAGTACTTTTGTATTTAATCCATATGATAACTTGATTGGGGCATCCGCTGGAGTATTTGCAATAATAACTGCTCATTTGGCCAATGTGATAATTGTAAGTATATTTATGCAATTATTATTTTATTTTTTAATTACTATATTCAATTACAAACGTCATCTTGTGAGTTGTTGTCTGCGAGTCGATTAAAAGAATATCGGTTCTAAATGTGCTGCATTTTTAAATATTCGTCGTCCGCAATGAAAAATGTTAAAGAAGTACTGAGGAAACAGAAAAACTGATTTAAATAGAATATATTTTTCAGTAAAACGTATTAGAATGAAGCATCAACGTCATATCAACGATATGAGCAAACACAAATTGATTTTATATGAACTAATACAGGGCTATTGATAAGTTAATCAACATAAAATAACATATATAAAATATGTGAAAATTTTATTTTTATAGAATTATAAGGAAATGGATTTAGTTTTTGTACACATAAGTATTTTGATACTGATAGCCTTAATTCATGTCGGTAGTGCTGTTTGTCCCCTTATGAATACTCAAGGATTGAACAAAGAAATAGCAAATGTAGCTTTGATAGCTCATTTATCTGGAGCAATAACTGGTAATCATATACATAAGTTTTATTATATTATTAATGAATAAGAATTCATTATTTATTTTGATTATTGTAAATTTTTAACAGGTTTTCTCATCGGCATCGGCGTCTTACGAAATATTAAAGACTATAATTGGGAAAGAAAATTATGGATAGTAACAAAATATATATTTATTTTCTTGTTCGTTTTTGCTACAATATTGAATATTTATCCTGATCTTCTGGAACATCTAATCGAATTTTACAGTTCTCTTTTTTATGATTAATTTTATGAACTTAACTTGTAATAATACATTTTTTTGTATTAGGTATTTTAATAATAAATGTCTCATATTAAGAAGATTTGTTTCATTATTGTTAAGAAATATTTTTGTATGAAATCTTCATACTAACTGTTAATTCCGAAATTTGAATAATTTATGAAAATTTATATAGGTATACACAGTGGCGTCGGTAGCAAATTTTTTATGTGTGGGCTTGTTTTTTCTTTGTAGACATTTGAGACAATATCATATTTTGAGATTGATGGGTGGGCTCAGCCCACACGGTTTCGACGCCACTGGGTATACATAAACACAAGTATCTAAGAAGGTTATTTGAAAATTGCATATTCATTTTGAATAATGGAAATTTTCGTAGTTTAGTGGTAAGAACCTCGGCCCTGCAACTTCATTTTGTGTTCGGATTCCGCACTATATACAATCACAATATGCATATTAAAATATATATTTCCAAGTTAGTGTAGAGGCATACAGTCTTTAGCGCGTGACGTTTAAAAGTCCGTAAAAATGCCTTCTAATGAAGCTAGGTAGTAATAATTCAGGGATAGAACAATTTATTGAAATAGAGACATAGAAAATCATAAAACGATGACTTTTTTAAAAAAAGCGTAAATAAAGTAAATAAAATAGTAAGTAAGTAATTAAAGTATTTTCCCTCGTTGTTAGTTTTTTTGGGGTGTGCACCGATATTTACTTTACGAGACTTCAATATAATTTTTAAGTATATGTTATTTAATTGTTTTATAAGAAGTACTGCTAATTTTAAGTTAGATTCAACAGTTTTTTATATAACGTCTATAAAAGCTTACACGTGGGTGGATAAAGGGAACAACGGAACCTTTACTCTGACTGGTGTAAGGTGTAAACAATAAAAAATAGTAAACAAAAAAGCAATTTTACAAGAGATAAATTAAATCATTCAAACTCTGCTAACATTACTGACAAAATACCTGATAATATACAGTGTATTTTTGTAAAAAATGTACCCATGAAATTCATATTTTGCATTGGTTAATCATTTTAGCTATTTTTTCCTAAAATTTCGTCAAAATTTAAAATAAGACATTGGACCCCTGGCCACCCCAATTTACTACGTCTATGGAGAAATTATTAAAAAACAGCAAAATTTAAAAGATCCAGATGAAAATTTTTTGAAAAACAGCAAAAAACACATTTTTACAATGTTGCATCTAGGAGTTTTACTGAACATAGTCAAATAGTTGTTTATTTGATATGTGTTATTTGTTGTGATATAATTGGTTTGGTTTTTACAATATAATTGCTCAAAATCAAATTGAACCTTTGTGCCTCGTCTAACCTATTATATACAATATATTCTATTTGTTAATTGTTAATTTGTACAATATATTCTATTTGTTAATTGTAGAGTAAGTTATATAGTAATCGCAAAAAAATCGAAAATGAAAATTTTTATATATCTTTATGTTTCAAAGCTTTCTGAACATTTTGGCATACCTTAGGAAAAATGAATGCATGAGTGTGTGTGTTTACGTGTGTATGTGCGGATATCAACCAATTCCAATGATTCAAGAAACATTCGATTTCTATTGGTAAGTAGATGTGAGGATTAGTTTTTAGTAAAAGCAGCTCCAGCCGTTCCGGAGATACGGGGCAAAAAGTGCCAATAATGGTAATTAAATTTTTGCTAGAACGGAGCGTCCGATTTTAATGATTCAAAAAACGTTTTATTTGTATTGGCGAAATAAAAAAACTGGTGAAATTTTTGGGAACACAGGTATATCGTTTCCAAAGATCCGGAAAAAGTGAAGAAAAAATGTCCTTTGGCGGATAAAAATGATCATTAGACATATGCACATCAAATTTTTACATTAATATATAACTGTAACAAATGTAGCTGAATGTACTTTGTATAGCTTGCTATGAAAAATAAATCAAAAAAAAAAAAAATTTACATGTTTTACAGATATTTTATAGATTTTACAAAATTTACAAAATATTTCAAAGTATGAAAAAAAATCTAATTTTTCAAAAAGGTCAATTTTTTATCAAAAATTTTGAAAATCTCAAAAATCGATTTTTTTCAAAGTTCTAAAAAAAATTTATTAAAATTTTTAATTTTTAGTACGGGAAGTACCAGCAATTTGCCTTAAGGCACGATGCCATGCACCACTAGTTTTACCATGGAAAAGTATGCCAGGGAGATTAAATTAAAAAAAAAAAATGTTGCTCTTTCAGGCCGCAGTTATGTCTTTGATTTGAATATTCAAACAAACTATAGCAAGTATCTTAGAATTCGCTCGGGCACGCTCTTCCACAGAGAGCGCCTGTAGTTTGTCGATTGAAATCGCTTCGAAGCAAGACCGGCTCCCGCGTTTTATGCAACTTTCTAGCTGTATATCGGTCCTTCAGTTTGGTTTTGTACGTGCTGAGTGTCGCCCGGTGTTTGCCGTGCGTGTACATAATATACGTGTGATTTAGGTTGTTAGGAATATTTAATAATTAAACTGTTTTAAGTAAAAACAAATCCACAAAATGGCATTGATGCGTTGTATTTCTGCGAACAAGTTGGCGGAGTCACACCATGTAAGTAATTTGTGAACTGTAGTTGTACATAGGGTTGTTTCATGTCAAGCTACCCCTAATAATTTTAAATGCCTTTTAAGGTTAATTTTGCAAAACAAGTAATAATAATCTTCGGTGCTTGATCCATTCGTTTTCTTCACATAAATTTAATTCACCATCATATTTATCATAAATGATAAATTTAACAATACCTTAGAATTAAAAGTTTCAACAACTAAAATAGTCTACTATCTTCTCAGCCGCATACGTAACAGTAGGCCCATGTTACAAGCGTGACTCTTCATTGATTTTTTTCATTTTTTGTATATGTATAAAATATTATCTAACATCACGAGATTGCGGTTTACAAAGATATATTCGCTACTTATTAGTTCATTGTACAGATTTGAGAGCTTTCATTTTCAAAACTATTCAATTTGCGTTAATTAGACTTTTTAGCTATGTTGCGAAAAATTTATTTGAGCACGCGCATTATGAGTGATTCATACACGGTCACGTTTTAGCATATTTAGTATGATATGTATGTTAACAAGATAAAAAGATATTGAAAAAATATTGAATTATATAATTATGGAGTTTTGTATGCTTATGTCCATTTATTAGGAAGCTATTTATTAAGATTTTTGTATAATTTCACACTAATAGAAATACAGTGTATTTTAGCGATTTTAGTATATGAATAAGGTTTAAAGAGTACAATGATCCAATTATATTTGAAATGATAATAACTTGAAATACTGATTTATAAACTAAAGTAGTTGTTTATTCAAGCCTCCTTGATTTTTCCTTGTTAAAAGTGAAAACTAATACGTTGAAGCATTTGTAATTTTCCAAACATAATTACTTTGAAAATAAAACAGGTCAAAAATAGTTATTTGAACCTTAGCGGCGGCGCCCTATAAACATTGTAGGTATTCTTTTGTGATCAAAATTTCAGCCGGCTTACCTGTAACTTTCTCCTCGTGTCAAGCAACCGAGCAACTAAATTTTGAAAAGAGGCGAAATGGATATTTTATTTCGAATATTTCATGTAATCACTCTAATTTTGGCATTCCAATATTTTTAAATTTTTTTATGCTTTTAATTTCACGAATATGCAGAAAAAGGGCACAATGTGAATTCAATTGCCGTTTCCTAGTAACAATGAAAAATTTATTTTATTGATAAGGATCATAAATTCTTGCCTTTACGCGTTTATGAGGTTTCATATCAATTACATCATGAGATAATCATTAAAATTAATAAATTATTTAATAAATTTATATAAGAACAAAAAATTAAGTAGAATTTTTATTGAATGCACTAGGCTTAAAAAACAATATAAATAGTATATAATCGAGGGCCCAATATGAATTTTAAATTAAAAATTATACAACTATCATGCGACTACATTCATAAGCTTTATAGTATATAGTATATACTAAATATCAAGAGCTACTAAATTATTTTTTATTATAATACTAATAATTTTTATATAATTAAACGTTATTGTCATTTCAAACTTCAAACTAGTAATTTACTTCTAGAAAATTATGATACAAAGCAATTGAAACGTTGTTGATTCTATTGTGTAAAGTTAGCCCTGGAAAAATTTGCATTTTAACCTTTTGAAACAAATAGTGGCCCGAATATATAAAGCTATCAATGAAGCAGGTGTTCAGAACAATTTGAAAGCTGAAATTATAATTTGCGGTTAGGTATTATATACCCCTGTTTTATCATACCACAAAAACAAAGATATCATGTACCATATATATAATATGTGCTGCTATTAAAATAATAGTTCGACTCACAAAATGATCTAGATATAACGTTCGGCAAACTAGAAATCACGAATCGGAATGATTAAAGATACGTTATCATATTTGTCAATGAATTTGATTTTTATTTTACATATTTTATATAGGTGATAAATTAAAAACCAGCAATATGATAAAAATTTGCCACTAGAGTTTATATGCGCGAGAAAATTTAGGAATTTAAAGAAAATTAACGTTTTATTAATTTATTAAGTATAATTGAATAATAATGAAACTTATTGTTAAGGTTTGTGCTTTTCTACTTTAACTAGAAATTTAGGTGTTTTTTAACTCTTCCTTGTTAATGCCGCTGTAAGTAAATACGACTCGCCCTTAATTAACTTTCCGTAGGGTAAGTTATTGTAATGGGCCGAAAATCGAAATTGAAAATTTTTACAATTCTCGACGTTTTGAAGGTTTCTAAACATTTCGGCATACCTCAGAAAAAATGGATGTGTGTATCCGATTTGAATGATCTAAAAAACATTCAATTAGTAATGATTGGAAGAAGTGTTTATTAGTTTTTGGCAAAGGCAGGCCCAGCCATTTCGAAGATACGGAGCTAAATGTGCAAAAAATGTCAGTTTTTGAGAGAACTAAGCGTCCGATTTAAATGATTCAAAGAACTTTCTGCTTGTCTTAACAAAATAATTGATTTTGGAAAACAAATTTTGTTTCAACTTTTTTTTCAATTTTTTTTTTTTATCGAAAATAATTCAGATTTTATTTTTAATTCTGACTATAGTTCTAATATACTTTAAACGAATAATTTCAACTTTGCAATTTAGTTTATATAATTCTTATAAATATTAGAAAATGTTACAATATTAATAATAATCTATTTGAAAACATTCAGTATTCCTCGAACATTTCGTTACGGTACGGGAAGTTCGAGCAATTTGCCTTAAGGCCCGATGCCATACACCCCACTAGTTATTTTTTTTCTTGAAATTAGAGTATTTTATGGTTACCATCGAATCTAAGCAAGAATTCATCAATTTATTATTACTACTAGTAACTGCAGACGTCTAAAATTATATTCTATAAGTTATTTGTAAAATATCACTCACTTAACACGGTCGTGGACGTGAATACTGTGGCAATAAGATTTTATAATAAATTATTTTGGATTTAATTTTATATAACCTTATGTTCTCGTAATTATTATACCTGTCAATGTGATTCTTCAGGTGTTTTCGTGTTATGTTGACGTGGATGTTATAGCATTCATCGTATATAACGATTAAAATTTACTTATAAATCGAGTTTAATCAAATTTTGCATATCACAACCAATTTAAAAATGACTCAATTTTTGTACTTGGGCTTGCCCGTAGGTAAGCGGTTAAGAGCGACGGGACCTGAATCAGAGGTCCCGGGTTCGATACCCACTTCGAGCAGCCTGTTGTCAGGTAGCAGTGACAAAGATTTTCACTTGAAAATATAGATAGCAATATGTTTCCAAGTGAAAATAGCCCTTGCCCGGCGTTGCTGCACCCATAAAATGTCAGCCCTATTAGATTAATTCTAATAACAAAAATCATCAAATATAGATGGATTAGCCATTGGGTTACCATTTAAAAAAAATTGGAAGTAAGAAGTTTCAGCCCAACAGCTCATGGGACGTAAGGTTCTGATTGCTGTTCAAAACTATTTTTAAAAAAAAAAAAAAAAAAATTGTACTTTGCTGAAACTGTTACTGCCCGCGAACGCGTTAATGATCACTGAAATCGTGTGAATTTATTGCTTTGGGCAATGCATTCAGATAAAAACGTCATGCGCGATTATAAGTGTACTTGCATCCAAATGCAATTGTATTCTGTAACAAAAAATATGGGAACACATGGAAATGTTACTGCACTTTGTTAACTCCATGACGTCATTGCCTGCCTGACTGTTTTATTCCTGGCAGTAACGCAAGGCACACATTTATTACATTTGCATGTAAAATCATTTGTGTGAGTTAAAATGGGAAGCACAAAGCGCCGGTTATTCGCGTTTACCCACACGCGGTCGACGTGAGGCAGAAGCAACGTAACCGTCAGTCATATGACAGCCGATCGACCTTCGACGTGGATTTGCCTTCTCCGAATACGATTAGAGTATTGTGTTTTTTTTGTAGTGGGCATGATTTAGCCTAATATCGCTTAATCATTATTGTTTTATTTAAAGTTGATAGGGATTGTCCAATAAATCACTGTAATCTCACGGTTTAACTAGTGGGGCCCATGGCATCGTGCCTTAAGGCAAATTGCTGGAACTTCCCGTACCAAAAATTATTTTTTTAAAAATAGATTAACATTTTTGAAAAAAAAATTACTCTGAAAAAAAAATAGATTTTTAACTATAAATTTTTGACAAAAATTTACTTTTTTTTTTGAAAAAAAGACTTGAAGAAAAATGTATATTGAAATATTTTGGAAATTTTGAACTTTTTTTCAAAGCAATCGTACTGCTCTAACTGCATAGAGACGAAATATCGAAGCGCGTAAGCGCCGCGCCGCCGTCTAACACATAAACATTGGTACGGAACCCATAGGAATGTAAACAAAATTTATACTTATTGTTAAATCCATGTGAATAAAATCATGTGAATCCATCTCTATAAAATATCTGATAATTTGATGTGCATATGCCTAATGATCATTTTTGACCGCCAAATGGCATTTTTTTTTACTTTTTTTTCTAGATCTCCGAAACCGCTAGACCTGCCTTCATGAAAATTTGATCAGTTCTTCATCTTGTTAATACAACTAAAATGTTTTTTGAATTATTCAAATCGGACGGTCCGTTCTCTTAAAAACTGAGTTACCGTTTTTAACAATATTTGCCCCATATCTTCGGAACGGCTAGACCTGCTTTCGCCAAAAACTAATCAGCATGTCTCCTTATCAATACGAATCGAATGTTTTTTGAATTATTCAAATCGCTTCATCCGTGTTCCCAAAATCGTCGAAAATTTGTATCCGCTCACACACATACACACACATACATCCATTTTTTCTAAGGTATGCCAAAATGTTCAGAAGGTTTTCAAACGTAAAGATATATAAAAAATTTCATTTTCAATTTTTTTGCGATTACTATAACTTGCCCTACGGGAAGTTAATAACATATATTTTAAATTATGTCACCCTTGTTTAATGTTTTGTATTGTTTAAATTCTTGTACTTTTCGAATTAATAAAGCAACGGCGATAAGT